TTAAAAGTACTTGATCATGTATGTTACAATATTTTAGAAAAAACTCAGAACTTATTTGCGTAAGTCAACATTACTAATGCTTGCCTTTGCGTTGCTCGAAAATTGGATGTTGCAACGAAGGTTTTAGGCGTATTTGTGGTTCTGGCTGATTTGTCTATCTACCGCCACTCTGCAGCAAAATATCTGGGAATATGATTCGTAATCGGAAAGTAGGAAATCAATACTAATGATGACAACATTGAAAAGGAGACTGCAACGCAAAAATTATTATATATAACAGTCTCTAGTCCACGCATTCGAATTCTTGATTTGATAAATTTTGCATTCATCATTTGAAGCTTTAAAAATTATAGTATATAGCATTACCTCATCTGTAGCGATGAAATCGGTAAAAGCAAAAGAACATTTTTTGCACAGTGCTATAGGGATTTTCATATAAATCCTCCTTCACTTTCCAGGAATCACACCACTCTTGCTATCAAAGGAGAATTGGGTACTCTCAAAACTCAGCAATTTCTGGAGGTTTCCCTTTGGTTTGTCTCGAAGCGCGATTTTCATAATGCGCAAATCGGACATTGTGGTTGTGGTCGTTACAGAGGGAGAGGAGGTGGATGTGGACGACCTCTTAAGCACCCAACGCATCAAGGCCGTATGAGGTGTGAATAGAGTTTGTACACCTCGTATAGCAGTCTTTAGTCTAGCTTTACTTTTATAGCCTTTAATATGAGCATTTCGACCATTCAATGTGATTGGGTTAGAGTTTTCTTTTTTATTATAATCTGATTAGAAATCCATCAAATTGCTTTTTTTGGTATTGTCCAATTTAGTAGAAACTTAAACTTCTTATTTCAGATGAACCATCTCGTTCTTGTTTGCCTTGTTCCACTGGTATTTAGCCAATTATACACACAACCTATTCTTTATTATCAGTACCCTTACACATCGGGTAAGCTTTTTTCCAACGCTTCTAATTTTCCCCTTTTATTTCAATTTCATCCAATTTTAGCATCAGCAGATCAACAATACGTCTATCAGAACCCCTCCAACCTCGTTTATCAACAAGTTCCATATGGACAAACTGCTTACGGTTTACAAACGCAATATGTACAGCCCGGATATCTGCCACTACAGTATTCCACGTATCAAACAGGCTTGGGAGGACTCGGCGGATTAGGGCAGTTGGGACAGTTAGGATCACTGGAACAATTGGGACAAGGTAAACCTTTTAAGATTTGATCAGGGATTA